TTATCCCCGAGCCGGCGGCGCGAAGCGCCGTGCGAGGGTACTAATTCCCCACGGCTATTTACACCCGGGGAAACGAAAGCATTAGCGAAGTCTAAAGTTCATCAAATATCGCGGGCGTGGCTCACCAACGATGTTTCGGTGGGTGGTCATCCTCACTAATCTCAAAATATGTGGCGGACTGTCATGAATAGCGAAAACTGATTGGTCCAATTTAAAGTTTGCATTATAACGACTGCATGACGACAGCGAAATAGAAAACATTTCTTGATTTGATGATTGATAAATTTCTTGCAAATATCACAAATATATTTCATTTTCGCTCGCATTTTTGCAAGATTTTGTAAATTTCAAGAAAGAAAGGGCGAAAGAATCGGCTAAAAGAAGTGAGCCGACGTTAACGAAGGTAAGTTTGTTTTAAATATTGATTTTATAATGGATTTAATTTAAAACCCGACGGCCTTTGCATATATGAAACAACTAAACAAGACAGCATATTATTTCAGTGTATCTTTAGTAATATTGATTCCCTTTTTTATGATATTGAATTTTTTAAATAAAAAAGAAAGCAGAGTTATTTGCAAGCGAATTCGAAGTCATTTTATTGCAAACTCAAAGTTTATCGATAAAGCCATTTTAAAAGTCAGTTTAGTTTTATAAAGAACACTAGTGACTTTAAAACGTTTTGCGAAGCGTTTGTGGTCGAATTTTACCTTAAATTGAGGCTTATATTACGTATAATAACATACCTAACATATATATGTTGGGAAATTAATAATTTTGTAATTAAAAGTGATATTTTTTAGGCGATTTTTCATTTGTATTAAGAATATTCTTAAAAAATTATCATGTTACCATGACAATTAACTACTTCAGATACTTCATGTTCGGAAAATACAATGGTTTTGTCTGTTTGTCAGCAAGGCGAGGGTTACTGCATGCATGTTTTTTCTAGTATCTAGCCGTGTTTTTCCACTTTTGGCCGCAATAACACGGCCAACACGGCCCTCTAGCTAAGACCCTGCTTCTGATGCATGTGAACGAGTAGATGAGTTATGAATGATATAAGTATCTGTACTCTCATCTGAACATTCAGAACTTATCTACTCATTCACATCCATTAGACGAAGAAAATCGCACTAGAAATCGCAGCTTAAATTGCAAGTGTAAACGGGCCTGTACAGTATACCTGCATCATTACCAGGTGCATCTATTCTCTCATCTGTTTCATCACCAGTACTTCCTTCAAATTAAAAATTATGGGGATTTAATTTTAATACAGTATACATTCTGACATACAAATTACAAACCTTCAGTTGTATTAGCTGGAGTTAATAAGGTTATCTGAAATTCTGCTTATTTTTTCAGGTACAGTAGTAAAATTCCTACCCACTGCAGCAAGTGTACTGTATGCCTGTTTTTTCGCAATGTAGGACAACAGCTGCGTATTTGCACAGCAAGTTTAGAAATGTTCATGCAAGCTTTTCTTTCGTTTTTACTGCAAGTATTCGCACAACATAGTACACCAGGAACAAAAGGTTAAATTTCCATTAATGGATTTTTGAATGTTAAATAATTGAACTCTTACCATTATTGGTTATATCCCATATGGTAAATTAGTAAAAACAAACAAACCATGATGTATGGTTACAAGTTCCTAAGTCCCTGTTCTGTGTGTTGCAATACACCTTTCCAGAAAGTACTCTGTCTTGACTACAGAGCCTCGTTTTCATGATTGAGATCTCGGTTTTGGAGCCCTTTATCTTGTCACTGATGATTTACTCTTTCTAATGCCAGATTATTTTACTTGTCAAGGGACAGTGCTGGCATTTAATGGGTTAAATATGTCACTGAGGATGTCTGATGAATATTATAATATAGTACCATCAGAACAAAGACATCTGGAAATATTAGGGTTATGTAATTTACAGTATGTGTTTATAACCATGATAAATTTTCTCTTTTGTCAACTGGAAACAAGAAATGTTAGTAATAGAAGTTTGATCTTACCTATGGAACGCCATACTGGACAAAATTACTTTAGGATTATATACGTAAAACTTCTCTCGCGTGTACATCTTATCTGCATTCTTGCAAGGCTTGAATACACGTGTATAAAACATCATGGTTCGCGTGTAAATCGGCTACTGTACTGACTGTTCGCAATACTTAGAAATATCCCTGTAATACTTGAAAACATTTCCCGGAAACGTTAAACCTCGCCCGTATGACTTCTAAATGCGGTCCGTAAGACTTCTAACTGCGGTCCGTAAGACTTCTAAATGTGGTCCGTTAGACTTCTAAATGCGGTCCGTAGACTTCTAAATGCGGTCCGTAAGACTTCTAAATGTGGTCCGTAAGACTTCTAAATTTGGTCCGTAAGACTTTTAAATACTGTCCGTATAAGACTTCTAAATGTGGTCCGTAAGACTTCTAAATGCGGTCCGTAAGACTTCTAAATGTGGTCCGTAAGACTTCTAAATGCGGTCCGTAAGACTTCTAAATGTGGTCCGTAAGACTTCTAAATGTGGTCCATAAGACTTCTAAATGTGGTCCGTAAGACTTCTAAATGTGGTCCGTAAGACTTCTAAATGCGGTCCCGTAAGACTTCTAAATGCGGTCCGTAAGACTTCTAAATGTGGTCCGTAAGACTTCTAAATGTGGTCCGTAAGACTTCTAAATGTGGTCCGTAAGACTTATAAATTTGGTCCGTAAGACTTATAAATTTGATCTGTAAGACTTTTAAATATGGTCCGTAAGACTTATAAATGCGGTCCGTAAGACTTCTAAATGTGGTCCGTAAGACTTCTAAATGTGGTCCGTAAGACTTATAAATTTGGTCCGTAAGACTTTTAAATATGGTCCGCGCGTAATACTTCTTGGCCGTAATTTAATATGAAAGTATTATATTTTTTGTGAAGTATAAACTCGAACGTTCTGTGCGTAAGACTTTTAAATAAAGAAATGTGAATTTGTAATGACTTTAACATGAAAACAAAACAATTACAAAATAATTGGACGCCATTATCAGATGTTCGGGAAAAATGGAAGGCGAAATAGAAAGGGTTTTGCTAGGATTACCAGCTTTAAATGAAGAATGCGAAGTTCACAAATTCACAGACGACATTAATACTTGTGAAGTATACAGTAGGCGCCTTGAAGAAATAATCGGATTCTTGAGAACTTTACCCAGAAGGATGCCAGAAGTTACCGAGCATGTCGGATTTTTAGAAGAAATGTTTGTTAGTCACCTTACCCATTTTCAAAATCGGATACATTACATTGAAGGGCCGTTCACCACTTCATCGAGATATCGCTGTAATCAATTGAGAAATGGAACAGTTGGTCGACCTAGATACGACATTCCAGAGAGAATGCTTTGGGCTTTACGAAGTATTGGATTTAGATGGGTTTCAATTGCAAAACTGCTCAGTGTGTCTGAACATACATTGCGTAGGAGGAGGATTGAGCTTGGATGGGCTGTTGGGGAGAATGAATTCTCAGACATTAATGACAATGAACTTGATGAAGTTGTGAGGCAGATTGTATCCCGTACTCCTAATGCCGGAGAGACAATGACCTTTGGGGCTTTGCGGGGTCGTGGGCTGCGTGTTCAAAGGCATCGAGTTCGTGAGTCAATAAATAGAGTAGATCCTATTGGAAGAGCATTACGCCGGCAGAGAACAATAGTTAGAAGAATTTACAACGTGCCTTCGCCCAACTTCCTATGGTAAGATCACTAGAAATGGACCTCAAGCATGCCATTAATGTTTCCTTGTGGTGCCTGGTAGTTATGCTATAAAGCGTTTGCACTCATTCCCCTGGCCGCCATGGCTTTTATATGTTTGTGTTCCAGACAAATGAGTATAATTAAAATTCTCTTGAATTTGAACACCGACATAGCCGCTGTGACTTCATGTGCATGCGAACGCTCTATAGTCAGGCACGCAAGACATCTTTCAACATATAAACTGGCGAACCATTTGGTCCCGCGATTTCCACCGGTTGCAGTGGCTCAGACTTGGCTCTACCTTAACATTAGTGCCCTAAAACTTACTTTACTCTCTACCTTAACATTAGTATCCTAAAGCCCACATATAATTATTACTTATTAGCCCTAAATTCCTATTCTTGATTTTGACCTCCGTTGCAAAACATTTCAGTAAAATATGTACTAATATGTCGTATATAAGCTAATTTTAATGGTCTATTGTAAACAACTCGTATTATAAGGTTGTACGATTAGGCCAAATCAACCTAAATAAAAACTTAATTACTTTTTACAAATTTAGTGAAAACCAGGCACTATCGCATACTTATCAGTTATAAGTTATCCATAGCGAGATTGCCATAGACACTTAATTAGTTAAATTTAACTTTACCAACAGGCATCTGGATGGAAATCATAAATTGATCAGGTGGCGGTTCGTTATTCACGGATGTATAGACGGGTATTCTAGATGTATAACGTATCTGAAGTGCAATACGAACAATACAGGTGAAACTGTTTTACAGCTTTTTATTGGAGCAATCGAATTGTACAATATGCCACTGAGAGTACGATTGGATCAAGGAACCGAAAATATCGCGGTTGCTCGTTACATCCTCGATTACCATGGGGCACAAGGGAACCATGTGATAACAGGGTCTTCTGTACACAATCAACGAATCGAGCGTTTGTGGCGTGATGTAAATGACAACGTAACACGTGTTTATAGAAACTTATTTTACTATATGGAGGAAAATGGGATACTTGATTCACTCTCCGAGACTCATTTCTACGCGTTACACTATGTTTACCAGCCTCGTATAAATAGGAGCTTACAAGAATTCCTCCTGGAATGGAACAACCATGGTATCCGTAGTCAGCAACGCAAATCGCCTGTACAATTGTGGATCGAAGGATATTTTCTAAACGTGAGGTCTTCGAGTACAACTGTACAAAATGCCTTACTGGGACTACCGGATAATCCTGACGAATACGGTATTGATGATGAAGCCCCGGTTGGGGCGCTTCAAACAGAAAATCACGTCGTAGTACCAAGATGTTCTATAACATTACCTCCAGAAGCAACTGAGGTTCTGCAAAGGTTAGTTAACCCACTTGCCGACGACGGCAATCATGGAATAAACTTGTATCAGGCTGCGTTATCTATTGTATCTTCTGTCGTTCAATAACTAGTAGATAAGCACGCAAGAACCACAAAAAGTAATTCAGAGCTTCTATACTTAAACATATTCCCTAACATAAATCATGTGAACGTTTTAGAAACTAAATGAATACCACATAACTAATATCAATTATCAAACCAACTACTGAATATTCCTAAAAAGTACCGCCGTTTGATTCAATATACAGCAAAAGCTACAACAGCTATAACTTCGCTCAAATAAATCTTATCATTATTACAATATACGAATTTCATGAGACATTAACCGAGCTTATAAAGGTGAAGAAATATCAACAAAACTGTAAACGAAAATGGAATCATGTGCAATTTAAGTTAACTTCATTGAGATAAGCAATAATCACAAGCGAATGGTAATTCTATTGATCGATATTAGTTTAACAGGCCCGTATTTTAAGCTAATTTTAGCACGGTTGGTCAAAAATGCTAGTTCGATTTAATACATTAATATATGAGGTAATGTCGCATAAATATTTTATTGAATATATATATATATATATATATATATCGAAATTTACGTTAGCCCTTTCTGTCAACAATTCCAGTTGCATTCTAATTTTCCCGCTGTATGCGGGGTGGTGTGCATTTACAAAGGAGTTTGGTTGTTTGCAATGCAAATTTCATCCAACATGGCGAAAATCTCTTTGTCCTTTTAATCCAATGAATGGGAGTCGCTCCCATGGGATTCAAAGGACAAAGAGATTTTCGCCATGTTGGATGAAATTGCATTACAAACAACCAAACTCCTTTTCAATGTCATCCAACATGGCGATGGTGACGTAATTTGCACACCACCTATTAAATCAAACAATGGTACTTTTTGGGATAGTGGGATACCCTGTTCCGGTATATACTGTAACATATACATGTATATAACAGTTATGTTCGTTCGTACACGATTACTTTAACGTTAACTCAACAACATCCAGCAATGCAACCCAAGTTGGCGGAAACTTTAAAGTAAATTCTACAAAATTCCAAAGCCATGCGACTGGCAAGAAATGGCTGTGTCGAGTGCACTGCAAAATTCCTGAAAACCAGATGCTTGACTTGGAAGTTCAATAACCATGGGGCAAGTGTTGACATTAGGTAAACAACTTTCAATTTCACACACTGTTATTTTATCTGGGTTGTGGAATCCGAGAGGAGGGACAGTTGGTGTACCAGTACAAAACATCAGAAATTCAGAAAGACTCTTCTCATCTGTATGATAAAAATATAAATTGTTACTTTTCCACGGTAATATCAGTTAGTACTACAGGGTGTCTAAAAAAACGCAATCCAACTTTAGCATGCCATTGTGTGTCTATCACTAGGTGTATGAACGCAGTTTTTTCATAATCATAAAGATCACGCTTTTGGCTGTTGAATGACATGTTTTTCATAGAGAATAATCGAGCAAATACGAGTTCGATAAAAATTGTTTGTCGAAATCACATATTTTCACCGCTACGCCTAATTAAAGCAATGCATAACAAAAGGAAAAGCTGAATTAATCACGTCACGAATATGTCATTTTGACAATGAGTTGAGAGCTAATACGCAGGTATTTTATTGAAGCGAAATTCATGAACTTAAGTCCTAAAGGCAGTAATTTTCAAATACAGTATATATATAGTTGTAACGGTGAAAATATACACTTTCAACAAATAATTTTATTGGACTCGATTTGCTCAATTGTTTCTTTATAAAACCGGTTTTCCAGTAGCGCATTTTCTCGCGCGAAGCAATCTTTTTTCCTTTGTCGGTGTCACTTATTACGTCAGCAAGACGTGCCAAAATGGATGCCGACAGAGGAAAAAGGTCGCTTTGCGCGAAAAAAATCGCTAGTGAGTAGTGGAAAACCGGCTTAATGATGAAAAACATGTCATTCAACAGCCATAAAATTTACTTATGTCAAGCTTTGATGCACTTGTGGGTTCAGTGAAGTGCTGAGACATACAAATTATAACAATACATTATTATAATAGTTTTTTGGGACACCCTGCATGTATTGTAAATTTGTTGTTGTTGTAGCTACGTTCAGGGTCCAAATACTGCATATAACTGCTTGTAAGTTGCAATACACTATATTCTGTGTTGTTGTATGATTTGAATGTCTCTTGGCAAACGGTTTTTGTCAGATGGAATAAAAACTATCAAACACGTCATAAGTCATAACAATAGAATTACAAAGTAGAAAATTCGACATACCAAAATTTCGACAACCCAAAGAAAAAAATAACAATGACATATATTCGTAATCCTCTTCTTATTACTATATCGTAATCGTTAACAAGATCAACGCAGTTCCTTTATACTATACAATCTAACCTGTGATCAGGCTATATTTATTTATTTATAGGCTTGATCGCAGGTTATATACGATCCAACTTGCCTTTCATTTCCATGTAATCCATTAGGTGTTTCTTCAGATGGTCATTAACGTCTTGAAACATAAGAAGTGATTTGAGTTTTTCTGCTGTCACTCTCGTAAACTCGTCGCTTTGGACGAGTAACGATTTGCAAATATCTGGATAACTGCGAATTTTATTCAGAAGTGGTCCCAACCCATCGGCAAATTGATCCAATTCTGCTTTTTGACTCAAGATGTCACAGTTAAGTAAAATGGACATAATTGCTTCGCCTTTACTTTCGACCGTTAATGCCTTCGTGAACCCAGAATCGATCAGACAATTTGTAACATTTGTATCCAACTCCGCATTTGTATCAGGGAAATTGTCAATCTAAAATAAAAAATCTTACAACAATATTAATTCAGCATTCATACAAAACAAAGTGGAGCAACGTACGCGTGTATCCACTTGCTTTAGCAATTCAATTTGCAAATGTCATGGACATTTTTAAAATTCTATTACCACTGGCACTGAGCTACGAAAGCTTTTATTAAGAGTATAAATTGCAATTACGATAACTATAATGCATCCAGATAGATAGATATTTTAGATAGATAGATATTTTATTAAAATAGATCATTGCAGCCCCGAAAGCTGAATTACGATCATTTTTACAATACTGATTCTAACAAACTATCATATAAACTTTAAAATTTAACTTATTAGTTCTGTTCGGTATTATTATAAAAACTCTAAAATATTAATATTAATACTACTAATGTACATTAGTTCAACTTCTAAGAATAGCGATAGCTATATCGATAGCTATATCATGATTGGCGATAGCTATATCGTGATTGGCGATAGCTATATCGTGATTGGCGTGTATTCCAATTACAAATTCAAAACCTAACCTGTTCTTAGCAAGAGTAAATAAATTTTAACCTTGATAAAGAGGTTCAAACCTGATTAATGATTTCCAAAATTTGAATATCGGGTACATCATCCACCGAAACAACTTCCAGCACTTCTTCGATAGAATTAGTGACTAAGTATGTGTATGCAGCGGGGGAAAAATAAGGAAACCCAGGACAACCATTAACAATGGAACTCGCTACTATTTTCCCAGCAACCTTAAACAAATGAGCACGTAATGCATCTGCATTATGAATAGGTAGAATTCTGCCACTCTGTCCTTCAAATAGTCTGACAGAAATGTTTGGGGATAACAGCGAAACCAGAAGTAATGTAAAGTATTCTCGCTTAGGGCCACCGCCATCTATGGCAGGTTCATCCTCGAAAACTATCTTACATGGCTTGCTCATGTCGAAACCGGGATTTTTAAATATTGCAATGCTGTCTTCGAGAACGGTCTCTCGTGAAATGCTTATACGATTACGACCATCCTTGGAAGGTTCTAGTGCCGCAAGAACCTCTCCCAATGTGGTTGGAATAATGCAGTTAGCCAGACCATCGGTGTCATTGCTTTCCACATCAGGTGCATATGTTGGATCAGATGAGAAGAAACCTGCGAAAAAAATGTTTATCGTCATGCAAAGAGAATCTGATTTCCCTTACACCTATTGGTACACTAAACGATTTCACCAAAAAGCCCATGTACCATTAGAGACAAACAATTGCAAATAAGACGATATTAACCGACCTGACAATACCAAAAGCCAACGTTTACGGCAATACTGCACGTGTACATGCATGCCATGGCTATAGTTAGTGTATTGTTTTCAATCCCATGCATATGCGCGTACGTTAACAGGAAATAAATACATGGAAGAACCCGTATTCAAACCCTTCAGGAAATAAATAGTTAAATACATTTAAAACAACGATTCATTATATACATGTACCGTAAAATACGCTTTGCTAGTGATTAACTAAATTTTTTGACGTTCTTGATTAATTAAACAGGGTGTCTATACCCTCTGGTGAAGTTGAAATTCAATAATTTTAATTATTCAGTAATTTTAATCAAAATCACTAATGTTGTCACAGCTGGAGGTTAAGGAAATTAATTCAAGGACTTCTACTTACTTTCAAGGACTTTATAGTCCTGGAATTTTTTTTCTAATTCAAGAATCGTTAAGGATTTTCAAGGCCCGTGGACACCCTGGTTAAAGCTGCATTTACACAAACGATCTGTACCGTTATACTGTACGTTACGCACGTCTATTACTTTTAATTATAATTTTCCAATTCATGTAGTGACAGGTATTTTGATACAACGTCCTATGTACGTTGTCACTGTAAAAATCTACAAAATACCTTCACTTGTGAAATCAATCATGTTATCAACTGCCTCATTCAATGTAGACGAACTATTAGCCACTTCAGTATACTTTTCTTCATCTTGGCCAGGAAACATTGATTTTAAAGTTTCAACAATCGTGACTTTTTCGGTGTTAATCATGTTTGTACTGGTATTAGGTTGAGTTAAATTTTCATCATTTGATGGTGAATCGGGCGAATCCTACAATGTTTAAATACATATTCATAATGGTCAGCTCATTTTAACTTATTAAAGAATATTAAGCAGAACGTGCTCTAGCTCCTCACTTAGCTTTGTTATTTTACTCCGTCCAACACCAAAAGGTTTTTCATCAAGGGAAAGTGTTGGAACTCAATAAGTTAATAGATACATATATTAATAGCAATCATTACCTTGACAATAAAGTATGATTTTAAATCTCTCTCGTTATTGGAAGATTCATCTTCTGAGTCAATTTCCTGAAGATATAATAACAGCAAGACTATATATATTTAGCGAAAACCTTTACATCTACTGACAATATTTCACATGCATCTTATAAGAAACTGATTCAAAAGAAAGTCATTTCGAGATCCTCTTATATATTTTTAAAATGTATAGGGCAATTTTACTTTTCACGGTGGCAAATCAGTTCTAAATGGCATGAATTAACTAAGGATGATAAAAAATATACAATCAAATTCTTATAAGTAAAGAATGCCAATTGTGAAACTTCCCTTTTCGTAGGAAGATAAAATATAATAACTCTGTCTGTTACAGAAAAAAAATACACAACCAAAACATCATGAAAACTTGGGAAATTTGCCATTTTCACATTTACATAATAAATGTATATGTGATTTTAGCTGACGTTAAACGTGTTTTGTTATTTTAATTATGAAAATAATACATACCACAGCAATATCTCTTGTTGCCCTTATATACAATGGTCCTTGACCAGTTTGATGTTTGATCACTTTCCCGGTCCACCCTTGACCACTTTGTATTTGTGGTTTAACAATACTGTTTCCCACTGCACGAACAAATTCAAATCTAACAACAAACAACTCTGATTGTGATAAAATTTCTTGTGAATGACCAATATCTTCATGAAGGTTTAAAATCAAGTGAAAAATTATGTTTTCTTTATGTGGTTTATACTGAAACAATTGGACGATTTAGCCTCGTTGTCTCTGAGCCAGGGCCGTCCTCAGGGAATTCTCCACGGGGGGTGTAAGGTCATTTCAACCGACCAGTGCCGAAAAGTTTTTTTCTGGAACAAATTATTTTTGGTCGCCAAAAAAAAAATTCGGTCAGTGTACCATTTTAGGGGTCCAAAAAATTTTCCAGACATACCAAAATTTTTAGGAACATCAAAAATTTTTCCAGACATCACAAATTTTTTCCATTTATCCAAAAAATTTTTTCTAAAATTCCAGCCCCCATCTTGCCCTTTGCGCGAAAATATTTAATCCAAGTAGCAGTCCTACCGACTGAATAGCAGTCCTGCCGACTGAATACAATTTCTGGGGGGTGTCACACTCCTCCCCCCACCCCCGTAGCTCCGTATGGCGGGTGATGTGTGTCAAAATTCAATAACACATTTGGCTATGATAACGTAACATTTTGGTACAATAATAACACATTTGGCAACGATAAAGTAACCTTTTGCTACAATTTTGTGGCAGTTACAAGACATTTATTAACAATAACAAAACATTCAATGACAAAGTATTATTTTGCAAGAACATACTAGTAAACGTATCGTATTAATATTTGCCAACAATCGTACATTTGGCAAGTACAATCCCGTGATGCAATTGGGCACTAGCTCCAAATGGGGCGAAAACGGTGCAAAATGGGGCGTAATTATTTTCGCGATATTGGATTACATGCGCTTTTTTAAGTAAACATGGCGGAAAATGAGAGAGCTTCGGCGTCAGATGATATTCAGTCATCTCTACTACAGGCTAGATACATAATTGTACAGCTACTGGATGGTGTGGCCAATTCACCACAAAATACATCTGCAAATACTGCAGCTGGTCTCTCAACATTTCAAATGTTGGTGTACTTGGCATTGACCTTAGGATGATTCCCAATGTTTCCGGTCCATAATTTTCATTATTCAAAATAGGACGTTGTATGACATCTACGAGAAGTCTGGCCTGATGTAGCAATATTCGCTGTAAATTTCGGGATTTCGTGCTGTCAGATTTGCTAGGCATCGATAAAGGTCTTCAGAAAAATCGCGAATACGATCAATAACATCATCAAGCTCTGTTGAAAGGCATTCCGTTACATCAGTCAATAACATTTCCAATCGCGTTATAAGAGCAGTTCGTACTCCGTTTTCTTCGATATCTTGATCGCCATTTTGTGTGAAAATAATTACGCGCCATTTATGTACCGTTTTCCGCCATTTGGAGCTAGTGCCCAATTGCATCACGGGATTGTACTTGCCAACTGTACGATTGTTGGCAAATATTAAAACGATCACAAAATTGTAGCAAAACTAACTGCAAAAGGTTACTTTATCGTTGCCAAATGTGTTATTATTGTAGCAAAATGTTACGTTATCATTGCCAAATGTGTTATTGAATTTTGACACACATCACCCGCCATAGCTCCGGGCCTGCTCTGAGCAAATAGTCAACTCGGCTTCGCCTCATTGACTATTCACTCATATACAACTCGGCTTCGTTGTCTATAATTGTTAATTAGTATATAGTCAATAAAAACTTCCTTTGCGAGGTGCGTGTCAAGAAAATAGAAATGGCTGTCATATTTAGGGCGAGGTTAAGGAATGAAGTAATAGTAAAAAATGCATTAACATGTAAGTTAACACAGCAACGCTTGTCAATCAGTCGCAAGTTACATCGAATTTCAGTCCGATTTTTACTTGATCGAATTTCGAAGTGAATTTCTGCAAATTATCCGACAAAACCTGCCACGTGTTTGTGTTCACAAGAAGCCGCCAAGTGTTCCGCCACGCCGGAGCTATTTGAAAACAGCGTAGAAAAGTCACACTAAGCCATCGCTTTCACACTAGCGAAATTACTAGCGAAATCGTTTGAAAACTTTCACGTAACTTTTGCCGTAACAATTTGAGCAGGGTTTCTAAACGGAGCGAGGTGAAAACCGAGTGCTTGATAGCTTCGTGTCAACATGAACATGAAAACTTGAAGGCTTTTTAGTTAAATTTCTCGGCTCTATTTGAAATATTTTGGGTTTACATAAGTGCTAATTTAATTTGTAAACAAACTGTAATGGCTTAATATGAACACACGTAAATTCTGCCCGCATTAGTTCGCTCCGCGCGTAGTGTGAACATACTGTAGCCTTAGTCTAGTTTTCGGTGCCGTTTTCAGACGGCGAGGTAGCCTTTAGAAAAATTTAGAAATAGTTGATGTCCGAAGGGGAGGGGGTAGTTTTGGGCTTTGACATCCGGATAGGGGGAGGATGAACCATTCAAGGATGTCCAAATGGAGGTATTTTGATTTCCTCAGTGGGGGGGGGAGGGGGTATGGATCTTTTCTGGAATGACCCAATAACTCTTCCTAAAAAGTGACAGGTATATTTTTGCCTGCTGAAGTTCAGTGGTGAGGTTTTTTACTTTGTGTATTAGTTTGTGCAAGTGTCAAATAAAATATGACATGCTTTGTAGTAGTTTAGGACCTGTATGTGTTTGTATGCATTTCATTAGGACAGATAATAACTGTTTTAGGGCAAGTTGACCATGACAGTCAACATGGTAACACTGCCCAAACCCCAATCCGGGACAAAATGTCCGAAACTGACCACACCCAAAAACGACGCTTTTGCCATAGTGCTATCTACCAAACCATAAAAGCTTTGGCTATTCTGAGGTGCTTATATGGTTCAGAGATGGTGGTTTTAGGGGTGGTCCTTGGTAAGTGTGAAATGTCTAGCACTAATATTTCACAAGAAAATGACCATGCAATACTAATAGTCAAACATCAATTTGAGGCTTACAACTTCAAATAAACAGCAGTGGATCTACATTACCTTTTTCCCTAAATCTTTTTGATAGAAACATAATTGTTACTTATTTAATTATATTATCACTGGTTTGGTGTAAAATAGTTAATATTTTGTGACCGAAATAATAATTTGAAATGTACATACCTCCTGGAAATGGACGTATTTGGGCAAATTCTCCATTTTACTCCGCTGTTTATGGCCGATCTCTTTGAAATCCTTCCAAGTATGCAATTCAGCTCAAAACATAATGGTATCAAGCACATTTTAAACAAGTTTCAACTGGGTTTCAAGTAGGTCTTAGCTGTTTAACCATCGACAAGGGAAAATCCAAACTTTGTCCAAATTCGGCGCCATTTTGTCATCCCATGTCGGTTGTAAACAATTCGGCCTTGGTATTCTTCCATTCAAGCTATTTCCATCAACTAATACAAATTTAACCACTTTTTAAGGGTATTAAAATAAAAATACAAATGAAATATGCGAAATGCAGCATTTTATCACTCTGTCAAATGTTGCTTACGAGTCCTTCAAAACATTTCGTACAAATCTCGTGTGACAAAGTGACAGGGTCGTGACAGGAGGGGGTAAATGTTTTCACGAAGATAGAAGAAGACTGTGTGAAATAGACTAAAAACTAAATACAATCATACAAACGTTTGTTTTATTTCTTGTAGCAACAAATAAATACATATTATTATTTAATAATATGAACAAGTCATACAAATTAAATGTTAATTTTACCATACTGCCACAAGAATAAGAAGGTACATTCTTATATTCTGTGATACTGTGTTGGGCTTTGCTTTCATTTTTTAAGGCTCCACCCCCTGTTACTAAACCACACAAGATGTGTTCGAAATGTTTTAAAGGACTCTTAAGCAACATTTTACAGGGTGATAAAATGCTGCATTTCGCATATTTCATTTGTATTTTTATTTTAATACCCTTAAAGGTGCTCTACAGTCCGATCTGCGCATGTGCACAAAGGAGCCCACTTTTTATGATACAAACAGTTTAACTATGTTTTGGGTTCTGGAAAAGCCCGATTGTTGTTTCTTGATCATTTATTATACTCTAGAAGCTTGGAAATATAAATAGTTGTCGGATAAAGCTCAATATTTTGGACATAAAAATGTAAACAAGGCTTTGTTTACATACGGACTGTAAGGCACCTTTAACAAATGGTTAAATTTGTATTAGTTGGTGGAAATGGCTTGGATGGAAGAATAACAAGGCCGATTTGTTTACAACCGACATGGGATGACAAAATGGCGCCAAATTTGGACAGAGTTGGGGTTTTCCCTTGTCGATGGTTTAAACAGCTAGGATCTACTTGAAACCCAGTTTCAACTTGTTTACAGGTAAAATGTGCTTGATACCATTATGTTTGAGCTGAATTGCATACTTGGAAGGATTTCAACGAGATCGGCCATAAACAGCGGAGTAAAGTGGAGAATAGGCCTTTCCAAGGTGTCTACCGCCATATTGCAGGGGGTGCAAAAACATTGGGACGAGCGCGCGGCCACCAATGGCGCCCATACTATTTCCTATTGAGTGAGTGAAAATTATCTTTTGACATTTTGTCCTTTTTCTCAAAAAATTTATATACAAGCATATCCAATTTTTATTTTTAGATAATCGCCTGTTTTTTTCTGATATGTGGCCGAGATTTTTTGCTAATCAAAGGACAGGAAGTAATAAAAAACGGCGGCTTTTGTTGTACAACTTGACCGACGTTTGAGCGATGATTTTTGTACAAATATACAAATATAAACAGTAATAATGGCGGACACCAAAGGACTTACACACTTAATGGACAACTATTCTTCCAAAGATCGGTTAAACAAACGAAATAACAAGAATCATCGCTCAAACGTCGGTCAAGGTGTGCAACAAAAGCTGCCGTTTTTAATTACTTCCTGTCCTTCGATTAGCAAGAAATCTCGGCTACATATCAGAAGGAACCCAGCGATTATCTAAAAACAAAATTTGGATATGCTTGTATAGACATTTTTTGAGAAAAAGGACAAAATGTCAAAAGGTAATTTTCACTCACTCAATAGGAAATAGTATGGCCGCCATTGGTGGCCGCGCGCTCACCCCAATTTTTTTGCACCCCCTGCAATATGGCGGTAGATACCTTGGAAAGGCCTATTTGGCCAAATACGCCCATTTGCAGGAGGTATGTACATTTCAAAATTCAAATTATTAATTCGGTCACAAAATATTAACTATTTTATACCAAAACAGTGATAATATAATTAAATAAGTACCAATTATGTTTCTATCAAAAAGATTTAGGAAAAAAGGTAATTAATGTAGATCCACTGCTCTTTATTTGAAGTTGTAAGCCACAAATTGACGTTTGACTATGAGTATTGCATGGTCATTTTCTTGTGAAATATCAGTGCTAGGCATTTCACACTTACCAAGGACCACCCTTAAAACCACCATCTCTGAACCATATCAGCACCTCAGAATAGCCAAAAGCTTTTATGGTTTGGTAGATAGCACTATGGCGAGAGCGTCGTTTTTGGGTGTGGTCGGTTTCAGATGTTTCGTCCCGGATTGGGATTCAGGCAGCGTTACCATGTTGACCGTCATGGTCAACTTGCACTAACACAGTTGAGATTATCTGTTCTAAATGAAATGCATACAAACTCACATACAGGTCATCGACTATAGCATAAACCTACCTGGGTTACCTAGGGTAATCCGTAATCCAACCGAAAGGGTTAGCGTATATATACAACCCTAGCGTGCATGTATAAAACATGACACACAACCACAACAAAAAAGGGTATTAATCTGCTTACTAGGGCAATATTCTAACTCTGTGTAAACAAGCCAAAGTTTAGAACCAAAGACAGTTCATAGCATGCGGTTGAATTCTGTTTACGTGATATTTGTGATAAATTACATGTATTGGTTTTGTTATGCACCTATCAATGTTAAGCCCCAGAGGGGGGAGGGTTGGGCATAAGTGGGGGCATTTGATTTTTTGAGCAAATTTTCAATCAAATGTCCACCGTTGGGCAATAAATATTGGTCAAATGCCCCACCATTTTGCAATAATGCATGAGTCAATTCCAGGAGTAACCACAACCCCCCCCCCCGGAACACACCCGGGCATTTGATTAGATTGGTTATGATAGTGTAAATGGGTGCCGGGACACAACTTGAAGACTAATGCACGGCCCCTGGGAAATCTGAGAGTGGAAAATGCCCCACCCCGGGGACGATTTTACAGTCGATTTCACGAAACTTTGACCACAAATGTTCCGAATTTCGTTGCGAAATTTGGAAGCTCATATTGGAATTCACAAGCCAATTTGTAAACAAAGTCCCTATTGGTCCGTGAAGTAACAGAAGCCAATCAAATGTGTAGTTTACGATCTGGTTTGTGAATCTCATATTTATGAACTTTTGAACTTCGCAACAATCTTGTGAACTTCGCAACAATCTTGTGAACTTCGCAACGAAGTTCGGAAAATTTGTGGTCAAAGTTTCGTGAAATCAACTGTAAAAGTTAATTAAACTTTTAATGGCATATAATCATAGTCATTTAATAACATTATAGTATTAAACTGCAATGGAATATTATAAAACATAAACCTTTAATAGTTGTATTTAAATTTGCATGGCACAGGGTATAATTTTCGCTTATTCTTACAATAAATTTCACGCCCCCACGTGCGTGCCTGAAATTTGTGGGTTGGATTTTGGTCAACCATTTGTCAAATCCCCGGGGTCCTCCAATACCCGGCCCCTGTGCACATATATGAAAGGCAAATTCCCAACCCATGTGAACTGTCTATCGGGCAAATTCCTGGGCGTGTCCCGGGGTGGGGGATGGTTACTCCAGGAATTGACTCATGCATAAATTGCAATAAATACTATATTAATAAAAGTCATTCGGTTCAAATTGCCCCAACTCGGGGCCAAAATGCTGATAAAAATCCCCAGGGTGGGGATGCAATTGATGATCAAATACCCACATATGCCAGACCCCCCCCCCCTATGGGGGTTAACATTGATAGGTGCATTATTGATTTTATTGTTTTAAATGTGTGCGCGAGCAGTTGTGACTTCTTCATAAGAATTTTCCCTTACTGAGGAGGTGGAATATCCATCAACTTCTCTTTAAATTGCTCTTCCAAAGCTTTCACTGCATCATTTTCACTCCAGTTGCCGTGGATCTCAACAGCAGAGGTGACAAATCCTTCGGCATACAACATTTCGCGCGCTTTTCCACGTGGTACTTTTTTATATTCAGGAGAAGGAAGTAAAAAAACGTCTTTCAAGACTATATCCTTCGCAAAACTATAATCTTTCTCCTGCTTGATCTTCCTTTTCCTTTTGGGCCGACTAGCAACACTTCGAAAAGCACTTTCCGACTCGTAAGGTTGTGCAGTCTCGCTGCGGTAACTTTGCCTTGGGCCACATTGTGGGAATAGATGAGCAAGCGCTTGAGTAGTGGACAGTGCTGGAGATGATCTATTGGGTCCCAATTCTTCGTTGTTAGTCACATTGTTTGGTGACGAAGATAGCGAAGTTGTTTGACTGCTTGATGTTGAAGCAAGTGAGGCTAAAATCCCACTTACAGCGGCAGATAATAAATCTCGATTCCCGTCTGCGGCTGCCATGTTGAAATGAAATTTGTAAACATCACGATTGAAAACCAACGTGAAGTTGGCATCGCATTCCTCTTAAATCTACTATTTTGAGAGAGCCTGTTCGCAGGCTTAAATTCGGCCAGATCAATAGGTCAATGAACTCTTTCTGGAACTATTTTTATAACTGCTACTTTTTTATAAGTTTTTGATTACAAAACCATTGTCAAAACCAACCAACCAAGCCGTACCTTTAACGATATAATGTACCTACTGTATTTAATAATATATCAGACATTTAATTATACTACATATTATTCAATATACTAGCCAGAGACGTGCCAAACCACCGTAGGTGTATCGGTCCCCCTCCCGAAAAATCCTTAAAAATGCTCTGATAAAATCTCGAACTTTGCTCCTGGAATTTAAGAATTATAAACAAGTAATTTCTGTCTGAATAAAATCTTAGTATCAAACTAAAGTAGAGGTGACAAAGTAAATTGCAAGAAATGAAATAAAGAATTAAAATCGTGAGAAAACTGAGTCATGTTGTGAGACCGTGAGAAATGTACAAAAATCGTGTGACACTTCAGACAAAGTGATTAAACTTACAAGCAGAATTTGAATATATAAATTAATAGTGTATATTTACAATGTTTAAA